GTCATGTCATATGCGGACATAATACGGAAAGTCACCAAATACACGTGGAGTTCTTCATGACGATCAGTATCTGATAGAGACAGGTGAACAAACACTAAGTGGGCTGGGCTGGGCTGGGCTGGCCGACTACCGTAGGTAAAATGGGGTTCTTCGGTTGCGCGGATCACACCTGAACGGAGAATAAACTGTAGCGCATAAACTATAGAGAAAGAAGAAATCTCGAATAGTAGTATAGGTTTCAATAATGGTTCGAGGTGAGGATCTATCCTTATGCAACGGTACTTACGAATAAGCTTAAGAACTGGACAACCCTGTTCTAAACCCTGCTTCTTCACCAAATACAATCCTGGCACCCATTACTGTGGGGAAATAGGAGGATTCATGAGCCGTAAATCTTCTCAATCATATCCCCGTTCAAGCAAGGGACCCCCATACTAGTCTCGTCGAAAAGACGGGGGTTTACAGCCAACCGCTTCAGAGGTCGGCTTTGGACCGAGGTAGGCGAGGCTTTCAGGACTTTGATATCGATGTTCAAGAGCTCTGATGCAATGCAGGAAATTGACAAGGTATGATCCAAGACAATGGTTCTCATCGTCAAGGATATTCCACGTGTGTCCGAGTGCGATTGTGACAAGCTGCAGCTCAATCTTGAGCCTCACAGACCTCCAGACTCCAGTGGCTACGTAGTAACAGTACGTAGTATGTGCTTCCTCATTCTGACCCTGTCTCCGGGTTGACGTGCTCATCTACAATATCTCCTAGCATATCGGTGGAACCTATCCCAGCAATAGCTGTGCTGACTCTGCTCCCAAGCTGCCACTAAACCACAACGAACATCACAAGACAGCATTAGGAATAATGCCTACTCCAGGCCTCTCTCCGGCCCCTCTCTCGCCCGAACATCGCCCCGTCTCCTATTACTGAAGACAGGAGATCGACTAGTTCATCCGAGGGGCGAGTAGTTGATTTAATAACAAGACGATCTTCCTCATCCGTGAACTGTAGATCGTTGCCTTTCTTCTTGTTTTGATAGAGCATATCGTCTTGGTTCTATCATCGAGGGTATCCTTTCTCGTCTTGTCATTCTTTGTTTGAGATATACGTTACAGTTACAACCATGAAGCTTGGTGTGTTGGCTACTGGTGCCGCCTATGGCACCACATTGCTCCCTTCTAGCCCTCAGCAGTGTGTAAGTCATGTCTCAAGTCGACCCCTCGTCGATCGACAACTCCTGATACACATTTAACCTGCATCTCGTTCACTTATCCCGCCACAATGAACACTTATTCTTATCTCTTCCATAACCTGCATAATGGCTAACGTCACATCAAAGTGCTCTGCTCTGCTGAAGGAGGCTGGTCTCTCCGATCTTGTCGCCACAAAGAACCAGTCACTTTACAATGAGCGAATCGACTCCTACTGGTCGGTCAGTGCTGCCTTGCATCCTGACTGCATGGTATTGCCCAAGACGGTACGTAATCCGATTTGATAAGTCATTCAAACGTTTAGTCCTGACATGATCCATAGCCCGAGGATGTCTCGAAGGTCATGAAGGTCATCGCCAAGAACCAATGCAAGTTCGGTATTCGCGGTGGCGGCCATGGCAACTTTAAGTTGTCCAACTCTGTCGAGGAGGGCATTACAATCGACTTTGGTAAGTTATAGGCGATGAATCTCATCCCATCATCGTTATTCATGCTAAGAGCTGTAGGTTTTATGAATGGAACATCGTACGACGAAGAGAAGAACGTCGTGAGTGTGGGACCTGGTGGCCATTGGCAAGATGTCTACGACACTCTTATCCCATACGGCCTTGCTGTCGCTGGGTATGTCTATATAACCCAAGTCTTCTCCCCTTACCTTACTTACACTATGTAGTGGTCGTGCTGGAACTGTTGGTGTTGGCGGTTTCGTCACAGGTGGAGGAAACTCCTTTTATTCTGCGTCTCATGTAAGTGACAGAAACACTAAAAAGGCACTCGACAAAAGCTCACATATACAGGGAATGGCTTGTGATACAGTGGCGGGTTGGCAGCTCGTCCTCGCCAATGGTGATATCGTTGAAGCAAACGCCGAATCCAATGCTGATCTCTGGCAGGTGAGTATCTCCATGTCACCTCATTCAAACCATCCATTCTAACCTCGACTAGGCCATGAAGGGTGGCTCTGGAAACCTGGGTCTGATCACAAGAATCGACATGTATCCCATTGAGTTTGTCGACCGTAACAACCCTTCAATCTGGGGTGGTAACCTTCTCTACAAGCCTGAGTCAGGCCCTGCAGTCATCGATGCCCTTATTGATTTCACCGCCAATGTCCCCAAGGACGAAAACTCCAGCAGCATCGTTTACTGGGCTTATCTTCCCGCCTTAGCTGGTGGCACTATTCTCAACGCAGCTATAGAGAACACCAAGGGTGAGGTCAAGCCCCCTGCTTTCGACAGCTTCTATGCCATCCCTGATATTCAAGGTGACACCACTGTCACTGAAAAACTTAGCAAGGTCACCAAGGATCTTGGTTCAGGTCAACCTCCCCACTTCCGCAACGTCTGGTTCACAAGCTCCTTCAAGCCCAATGCTGAACTCCTGAACTATGTCGTTGAGAAGTATGACGAGCTCAACCAGGCCCTTGAGGCTCTCATGCCTAGTGCCGAGTCAGAGCTCAACACACTCTGCATGTTCCAACCCATCACCAAGTCCATCGCCGAGAAGGGTGTCAAGAATGGCGGCAACGTCATGGGTCTAGACAAGTACACAGAGGACGGAGATGGTATCATGTTCCTCCTCACCTGGGCTGCCAAGGGTGAGGCAAGCGAGGAGGCTGCTTTCCCTCTCCTCAAGGCTTACATGGACGATATCGAGACCAAGGCAAAGGAGATGGATGCTTGGTGGGCTTGGAAGTTTATCAACTACGCTCATCTTACACAAGATCCCCTAGCGACTATTGGAGATGAGGCTCTTGCCAAGCTTCGTGCTGCTAGCAAGAAGTACGATCCTCAGGGTGTCTTCCAGAAGCTTCGATCTTCTGGTGTCAAGATTCCTTTTTAATCAATCAGAGTACTACATAGATGAACATTAGAGGTATTATAGACTGTATCAATATTTGAATCTCACAGATCTCTAGTCAGGTGTGCGGAGAGGTTCATCAACTTAGCTGATACTAACATCATCTCGGGAGATGTTCATGAGATGCAAATAGTCCAAATGATATTACTACACTCTATAGCTATATCCCTATTACAATACGTAGCTGACTTAATTAGGGGATTGTCAGTCGATAGTAATTACTATGTTGCGATCTACATGCTTATCAAGGGAGGATGTAAGAAAAACTACGGCCTCGATCCTATGTAGCAGAAAGATTTAGGTAAGTTTAGGATAGACTTAGGCAAGTTAATGATATCTTAGCATTCCTTTAGATTGGTTTATTTTGGCACACCGGCTTAGTGTTAGAGGCTTTCTTAGCCCTGACGATGATCTTGTTATTGTGATATTTTACACAGTATTGAGGTCAACTGAAATGAGATGAGGTTTCCGCGTTTCTCTTCCACAGAGTCTTATTATCATCGATTCTCATGCGGCGTTATGCTCAACAGAAATGAGCCATGCATAGATCGAATGGACCCCTCAGTTCCTAACAATCTTCTCGCCACCAAACCATGCTCGAATAGTAGGCCAGTATGTGTAGTGCAAATAAACATCAACAGAGGCAACGACTGCGAGGCCTGCCAAGACGTATCGGCGATTCTGAGGAGAGGCATTGCTCCATTTCTCGGCCAAACTGGTAGACTTTCGGACATTGGGGGCGACGGCGCTTTTCATGGTTGTTGAGTTTGAGATGTACCTGCGAGCAGCTTGGCTGGCAGAGGTGGAGAGGCGGGTGGTGATGGTGGGCGACATGATGTTTTGTGGTGGTTTGATTGAATGTATTTGTTTTGGGTTTGTATAACTGACGGTCACGTATGTGATTGAATTGTTTTATCGAGTTGTTCTTGTTGTTTTTCTATTCTACCAGAGTCGACAAACAGTCTATATAAATACTCTCAAGTGATATAACCCAAATTCCAAATTCCGTTATGCTTAACCATAAGGCCTAACGATCCCCCACAACGCCTCGCTCAAACATAACAGGCATTACTTTGAACCGTCACAAATGATCTCATCACATCAGCCACCTGGTCGCTTCGGTCGATTAATCGTCAGCGGTTTGAATGGTTTACGCAATCGGTCCATTGAAGGCGCCGGCCCCAGACCAACTGGGCGTCTCACACCTCCATTAGGTTTTACAGACATGAATGTTGTCGCATGAAGACTTGAAGCAGGCTTGTTAGGCAATGCTTCTTCCTCGTCCTTTTTGTTCTCTTCTTCAGGGTCTTTTCTTGACGGCGGTCGTGATGGTGAGCTGGAGAAACAGGGGTAAGGCTTTCGAGGGCCCGCGTCTACCTTTGGAACATTTGGTTTTGACAGAGGTCGTGCAGAAGAAAGTTTGTGTTTTGCCAGTTCCGGATCTATCAATGGCTTTTGTGGCTCCGACCCTGTTGGCAGTCTCCCCGGCATACTATTCTGCCGTGAAAAAGCAGACTGGTATCGCATTTGTGCAAGGGACCTGGACTGCTGCTGCGGTACAGGCTGAGGTTCAGGCGAAGGTCGAGGAGCATCTCTTCCATGGTTAAGCCAGCCAAGCATACTCTTCTGCCCAACGCCTCTTTTCGTCGATCCCTTCTTTGGCCCTGGTTTTGAGCTTGCTGCCTGTGCTGCGGCTGCGGCTGCAGCATCTAGGGCAACTCTGTGAGCTCCCGCGGTTGTGAACCCTGGTAAAGCAGAAACAGTGAAATCAGATGATTGTTCCATTGTCGTAGCATATTCTCTCTGCCAGGGAAGCTCATCAGTTTCATCGTATGAGGTGACAGGGTGCGCCGTACGTTGGCGCTTGGGTGCCCGCGAGTAATGTCGGCCAGTCTCTTCGTCGTATCTATCGACGTTCTTTGGTTCGACAGGATCAACAGGAAACCCGTCATCTTCAACTGAGAACATGGGAGGGAGTTTTCCGAATATTGCCTTCTCGCCGGGGGCCTCTCGCCCCAGGATTTTAGCAACGCCCTCTACAACTGCTCGATCGAATGATGGCCCCTTCTTGGCGAAGACCTTGGATGCAAAAGGGGAGACAAACGGTGAGAGTTCAACCTTGCTGCTCATTCCTTGAGAACCGTGGAGTGGGCAGCTTAGGTACAGTAGCGCTTGAGCTCGTGTCATTGCCACATAGAGGAGACGTCGTTCCTCATCTGTGTCTTCCGACCTTGAATGGGGTATTGATCCGGTGTAGACGGAGGGCACGAAAACAACAGGCCACTCCAGCCCTTTTGCTGCGTGAATGGTCGATATAGTGATCAGCGACTTCTGGTCTTTTGTGTCGCCTTTGTTCTGTGCGTCCGATGCCAATGATACGTTGGCCAGGAATCGGCCTAGCATATCATCCTCTCTCACTTGGTCCATATTCTCGATTTCTGGGAGTGCTTCTTCCTCAGGTCCGCCAAAATCTCTCATAAAATCGCTGACCAGATTAACGAACTCCTGAACGTTAGCCCATCGCTGTTCGTGTTCTTCTGTGTATTCTTCCTCCAAATACTTCTTGAAATCAAGATGTCCAATCAGTTGCTCTATCAAGTTAACCAGAGTGACGGGGCTGCTCTGATTAATTTGATCGGCTTCTTTGCGTAAGCTCGAGATGGTACGTATGAGTTCTGTATTGAGCTTTTGCTCCATCTTTGGTCTGATGTTGGTATTTGCTTTACGGCTGCCTTTACAGTGCTTGAGAATCAAAGTCCAGAGGCTCATGTTGGTCTGCTCCGCCTCTTCAAGAAGAGATTTGATTGTTGCTTCTCCTATACCTCTTCTTGGCACATTGATGATCCTGGCTAGCGCATCGTTGTTGTCAGGCTGGCTCACTACACGAAGGTAATCTATCAGGACTTTAATTTCCTTTCGTTCATAGAATTTCTGGCCTCCGATCATTCGGTATGCGACACCGGCTTTCCCTAGAGCCGATTCGATGTGTCGAGAAAGCGCAGCGGATCTTAGAAGAATTGCGACATCTTCAAAATTGAGCATGTTTCCAAACATCATGATAACCCGCTTAATCTCAGAAACGATCCATTCGCCTTCAGATGACGAACTCTTCAGTGTTCTGAGAACCGGTCGTGCTCCCTTAGTGTGGACTGGCAGTAACACTTTCTGGTATCGCTTTTTGTCTTGCTGAATAACGTTGAGAGATACATCAAGGATGGATTGTGACGATCGATAGTTTTCTTCCAGGGAGATTTCATCTGTATCAGGATAATCTCTTAACAGTCGATAAAGGTTTCGAATCTCGGCTGAACGCCAACCGTAGATACTTTGATCAGGATCGCCTACAATTGTGATTCGCTGGCGTGCTTGGGCGAACAACTTCATCAGCTCATATTGAATGCCGTTTGTATCCTGGTACTCGTCGATAAGGACGGTCTGGACGTTGGAAACGCAAGCTGGGTGATCTCTCAACAGTTCGACACACTTGACCAGGAGATCATCATAGTCCAGCAAATTTGACCTTTTTAGTTGAGCTTGATACTCTTCATAGCATGTCCTTAGCGCCGGGTTCTCCTTTTTGCCTTTCTGCGTTGGAGCCGCGGCGGCATTTGGTCCCTTCGCTTTCTCTTTGCTGATCCATGACCTCGCATGTAGCGGCTCGATACCAAGTTCTAGCCTCTTGCAGATTCTTTGGATGATCGCCCTCGAATCTCCGTCGTCTGCGATTCCAAACTTGGAGTCTAGTCCGATGCGATTTCCGTATATAGACAGATATCTTCGGGCAATCGAGTGAAACGTTCCAAGCACAATCTTCTTTTCGCATTCCTCGCCTAAAGCTTTTCCTATACGCTCTTTCATTTCTCTGGCGGCTTTGACGGTAAAAGTTGCGACAATCACGTCGGCAGGTCGATAGCCGACTCTTTGGATCAGCCATACTACTCGAGAGGTAAGAGTATGAGTCTTTCCACTACCGGGGCCAGCTAGAATTGCTACCGTCGATGCAGATGAGGTAACAGCTCGGCGTTGCGCCTCGTTCAACGACTGAAGGATCGCATCTTGTGTCGTCGCGGTGGACATGCTGGGTACGTGGACGAATCCACGGATTGCTGTCGAGTGGTCGGGGAGAATAGTATCATCGAAAATTCTATACCCATGCGAGATTGCTCGAATGGGACTACGGCGTGTATTTCAGCCACCAGAGTCACTGTATCTGCTTTCGATCGAGGGGCTTTCGCGTTGATGAGAAGCAGGCATCGCGCGACGCGATGTCATTTTCGCGATGTCACGTGCAGTGCAACGCCTAGGTACTAACGTTGTAGGGTGGGTAGGACTAAATCACCAGGAAGATATATTCTACGTTCTGATATCATTGTTGACTTCAATCAAGTACCTATCTTGTTCTTGTTTGTGGTGGTTTATTCAATGTTATTGTCTGCCTTATCACCCACATATTTTCTCATGTTTTCGAAGAGAATATTGTGCTCATGACGCTGGTCTCACCATTCAATTTCCCTTCTGGTCATCATGAATTCCTCCATTGACTCTGTGGATGGGAAAAAGCATTATGTCTGTGTGTCACATGCTCATCTTTCATCAACTCTGTCAGATCTCGTTATCAGCTTCGTCACATTCCCTTCACGCTAAAGCTTCACCCATCACTATCACTGTCACGGTATGCCATATCAATCACCGCTAAAAGAGTGACAAACAAAAGTCCAATGCTACGGTGATGTCCCACCCTAAAAGAGTTTTGATCAAGCCAGAAATGCATTGTTACCCAAAAAGGTCGGACCTTGAAACATAATATTTCTGTGGGTGCTGTGAAACATCGCAGTCTGTTTAACGGCCAGGGACACATCTATGATCACATAACATCAGGATATTCATGAAGCACCCCGATTCCCCTGCGCAAGTGCTCACCGCATAGCGCCTGTTTTGAATATGTAACAAAACCCAACATGGTCCTGAATTATGATTGTCAC